ATATGTACATAGTTTCATTTATGACATGAATGTAACCCTCGGCCTAATTAGGCATCTATTCCATTAATTCATATGTAGATACTATACATATATATATACTGTACACTGGAATTATATTAAGGACTTTGTTAGACTACATATGGACTCTTAAAAACGTCAACTATCTATCTTAACTAAACTATGTCTAAACTAAACTTTAACCAATAATGGTGATATAATAACGAGAACATCTCTACTAATCCTAAGAATCACTGAATGTTTATATATGAACATACAGAGAGACTGGAAGCGAGGAACATGGAACAAGATATAGAATAGAGAGGCGAGGAATTCTTTAATGGCCATTATTTCTGTCCACCCTGCAATTGAGTAAGATGAGCTTTCATGGTCGCTAATCACGTTGTCAAGACAAAAGCAATATATTGTACGATTTTAAGCACGACACAAATATACATATATCCACACATGCCCATTGCAGCAATAAAATGTGAAATAAATTATCAGTAAATTTTTCCAAGTAGGAAATTGTAAAATATAATACAGATAAAATTCGAAGCAAAGAAAACAAATGTATGAAACAATGTCAATTATGTAGTGGAATTGAAGCGCGTCACTGTTTTTCAAGTTTCTCGTGACTCAATTTTAGATAAGTTTGCCGATATGCATATTATATGAATCCATTAATTCGTCAGAGTTTACAGATAAAGTTTATATTTATTGCCATCTCCATGCTTGTTTTGTAAATATTCTGCTGCAACTGCTCAAATAGATCACTGTCGTACTAATCTGAAGACAATGATAAGGTTTATAGGAGCATCAATTAGAAAAGATGTAACCTTAGAACATGTTACATTAGTGATACTACGAGTCATAATTTACTACACTATACAGGATTAGATTTTAATGCACATGCAAAACTCAAGTTTACTACTAACAACACATAGGCCCAACTTATGGGGATGTCGAGTGTTGTAGTTATTAATGTCCACATTTAGTTTTTTTTTAATTTTCAGATATTAGTCTATTGTATTAGTTTCACAAGTAGCTTGAAGTGAACATTCACCCTGCTTCTCCACCTTTGCATTATTCATAAATAAAACTTTGCTTAGAAAACTAATGAATAATGAACTTAAAATACGCATATATGCGTATTTTATGCATATATTTTATGCATATATGCATACCCATAGTCGTCCCGTATTGCTGATAATATCTTAATGATTTTCCAGGCGGAAATTACTCAAGAGTGGCAGTTGGTGGATATTGATGTAGTGAAAAAGAAGTCAAGAAGATCCATCCACAATTGTTTTTTCCTGCCTAAATATCGTGCATAAAATAAATTTATGCACCTTTGCATCTCCAAAATTCTCCTAAAACAAAACTCTCGGTAGCCACGCTATCATACATTATACACACTCAGGACCACAAACTGTATTCGAAAACACGCAAAGCTCCCTAAATTCAATTCAATGAGCAGGGAGCAGTTTCACCCTCTTCCACTCCATCACAACATCAAGTTTGGTGGATTTTCTATGACTCTAAATTTATGTCATACATGGAAAACTGAGCTTGAGGGGAGCATTATTTTGTGAGTCTATCTCTAGGATAATTTCGCCCAAATGTCCTAATGTACGCCTATCAACAAAAACAGTATCAAAACCAAAAAATGGGGGAACCATAAAATCTCCTCATATTGGAAATGACTCAATCTGTCCGAGGTCCCAGAATTTATCGATTTCCAAAGCAGAATATGGGACGAATAATTGCATAGTGGCACATGGAAAATTATTATTATGGTACATATTTGTTATCTACAGCATGTGAAGTGTAATCTCTTTATCCATTCATCCATAGAATCTACTCGTCCTGTCCTGATTGGCAGATGGTCATATAGATATGTATATTATATTGTAACACCGAATACATAATACAAAATATATAATTATATATATAAATACCTTACTGGAACAACGTGTCAATTATATGGCAATAAATAAGTGCATATGGTGTAAGAGGATCGAGGAGGCAAATAAAATTATCGCTGGTTTCGATTTGTATGGACAATGTCACTGCCAATTATCCACTATTCATACAAGCACAACTGACCATGTATATGTATGAGCCGGAAGACATGCGTGCAAGGTTCATAAATAATCCATGAAAGATTTTTGACAAACTCAGCTATAATCTACTGCATGTAATTCGAATTCAATCCAAACTCTTATATCCACTGCATTTATGTATATTCTAGATATAATCAGCCACAACTCGTTACAGTAACAAAACTGCAGTGCCAGACTGACAAAATTGTATGCACACATTCCTCCGATTAATGCAGACAGTGATATAGTACTCACTCATATAAATAATAGCCTGCATTCATAACGCATTGGAGATTTTAGGGTGATTGATGCTATTTCGCTCTTAAATATTATTCGTTCATGTTTCAAACTTGTGTACTTTTGGAAGAAATGGTATGACATTGTAAAGAAAAGAGACAAATAGAAACATGGTGCGTTTATTTCATTTTTATTTAAGGGTCACTCTTTGCTACCTGTAAAATGAGGAATGTTACAAAGTACAGGAACCGACGAAAAGGAAGGAAACTAATGAGGAAGGCGCCTACTTAAAACTCTTGGTGCTACGAAATTGAAACGGACATTCAAATCCATGATTTCAAATTTCGCATAGTCTCCTCCTCTTCGGGCAGGATGAAATTAGATGTTGTTCTAGATTACTCTTAACTGGTGCACAAGTGGTGAGATATGTAATCGTGGAACGGTTGGGTAGGAAATGAACGAGCCATTTGTTTCTTCTAGTGATGCTGATGGTGGCATGGCAGGTAAATAGGCAGAGAAACCGGAGGTAGCAAATAGAGAACCTAATTCATTTTGGACACCAAGCCGTAGCACACTGCCTTGGGGTACCCCAGGTGGGCCTTTGCCCACCTATTCTTTCATCTCATTTCCCACCTTTTCCAACTTTGAATATTATGTTTCGCTTAACGGTTCCTTTTCTACGTGAGTGCAGTGGAAGGAAGCAACATCCTTCTCCGTTGTATGCATGTATACCTTATTTCCATACCTTCGTTTTGGAGGGAACATTGAGAAATAACGTGGTTCCATGCTATTTATATCTTTAGAACTGCACCAATGAGGTCAATGGTCAGTAGAATACTAGTTTAACAATTTCTCAAAATATACCAAAAATCATATCGAGATATTCAACAAACATACATATGTCAGAGTCTGAGATGAAATGACCAGTAAATATAAATTATATTTGCTACTGTAAAATGCTGCGCTGAGATTCCACAGGATAAGAAATCACAAAAGAAAATTGGTATATTATTTATTTACATCAATTGTTTAACAAAACTACGAAACACTTGTGCAACGATCGAGTACATTAAGTGCATGATACAGATAAATATACAAAACCTATTGCCGTAACAATTTTCCCTCTTTTTTGGAAATTCTACTATATTAGATATCATGCAAAGAATTAGCTACTGGAAATACTTTACCCTCGATTTTTCGAGGAAGTCAATCAATACAACAATACAAGAGAGAATATGAATCGTAAATCAAAATATGCTAATTATTAAATGAAAGCACGTGTGATAAAAATCTATTAAAATCTACGCAGACGCAACGAATTGCTATTAAACTGGATATACCAAATGTTACTCTGTTTAAGTTTCCTCCTTCACGTAAGGAAGGAATGAAAATTCAGGATCAATAAAATCCAGCGAGTAAATACAAGTCAGGTGAGCCAATAAAACCAAGTCCTTTGCTCTTGACTGTGTTTGTTAATGGCCGTTGCAAATTCACCCTTTCCTGATAGTCTTCATAGTTCCATATAATATGTATGCACACCACCACGAAACATAGGTTCACCCTTCGTATATAAATAATAATAATAATGCAACACCGTCGATTTTCCTTTCCCTTCTTTATGATATCCAATCATCTGACGATGAGTCCACTTTTTTTAGTAAGAGAAAATTATGCATATAGAGGTGGCAAGTCAGTTCCGCCAAAAATTTGCGTTTCGTTTGCCATACGTGATGCATCATTCCTATTATTCCGTGACCCTAACTCATATTAATTTTGCTTAATGAACTGAAAGTGCTTCTGTAATTTGAAGGAATTTTTCATTCTCTTCGTCAGTGTTCATGTTAACTCAACTCTGCAAGTAATACACTCGGTAAATTCCAATTCAAATCTATATTTTGTGTTTATGGCCCACAGTAATTTCTTCACTGCTGTAAATGAATGAATTATGTCACAGAAGCTAATGTATCTTTCACTCTGAATAAGTAATGCTCGGCAGAGTTGGGGAAACTCTGCGTACGGATGTGCATACATATGTAGATACACATATCGTATGTGACATATGTATGATCTCACTTTGTTGATTGCATTACTAGCCATTATCAATTCTACTCAACTACTGACTCACTGCATTCATGTGTGTCACTTAATAACAATGAGACTCCGGATAAGGTTAACCTCCCCTGAGTCATCAGACTTTTTTTTATATATAACACAAACAATACTCTGATCTAAACGATACAAAGCTGCCAGGTGAACCTTGTTAACTTTAAATATTGTTAGCATAAGTGGTTGCCGTGGGTAAAAAGGAATGACATTCCTATAAAAGCCTAGCACAATTCTCAATCATTTGTAATAATATTAAACTTCTTTTAAATTAATAAGAAAATAATGGATGAAACGTTAAAACTCAATAATTAATGGATATGAAACACGTTTGACATTTTGGTTTAGCCAATAAAATATTAATGCAAAACGTGCGGTGGATTAGATACATGATTTGACCTCTTGTCACCTTTTCTACTGAGGCTCACCATCACACTAACACATGAACATAATCAAAGTCATTTCCTAAACTGTAAATGGTGTGAGAAATTCTTAAGAAGAGAAGGGAGAAACATAGATACTTGAATACACAATATATAAACACGAAATGACGCTTACCTGCTAAAACCACTAAAACAATCCAAGATTTTGAGATTTTCCACATTTTGAAAGTTGAATCCAGACTGATCCGTTCAGTCAGTTCTCTTGAATCAGAAAAATCACTACCAAACTGCTGCTGGGAATTTAACCTCCGAGTCCAGCTACCAAACGAATTGTACACTTGTGACACAGAATTCCCAATTTGCCGAATTCACTAACAATTCTGTCGGAGATATTATTGTGCTATTTTTTCTATAAACTAAGTAGATATTACTTCGCAAAACTGTCAACTCTTTCTTTTATAATAGTACAGAAGGTGATGATAGTTGTGAGTTGGCGAATCAATCTTTTCAGACTTATTACAACGTTGCGTGGACAGATCCGTTGTGCACGGTTGGCAGGGAACTAACTAAGTAATAATTCTGCTCAGAGGGCTTGGCTGGCTGCTCTTCTTCCCTCTTCTCGTCCTGCGTTTAGGGTTGCAGTGCAGCAGCCCCTCTCTCTCTCTCTATTGCATTGCATTGGTTGCTGGTTGATAGTAGCACAGGCTTCTTTTGTATTCAGCAGTTGGTTGCTTAAAAAAGCTGAACAGCGAGGAGTGTTATTGAAGGTACAAAACTCCTTCCCTTTCCCTCAGTATGAAAGTCTCAAAGCTTTGCAAGCTGTTGTCTTCAAGTCGAAATTCAAGTTCAAAACTCGGAGGAGTTGGTTTATATCAGCTCTTCTGCACCGCACTGAAATTCATAGATGCACTATATACTTTAGCAAATAAAATTTATGGGATATCCACAAACTTTATGAAATGTTGGATTGATAATTCAACGATCTTGAGAAAACTTACCAATTTAAAGACGGGCACCTAATATTAAGCCTTATCTGATGATGAGTTACAAAATGGTTGTCACTTAGAATTTGACTTGACTATTGATTATATTTATACTTTATGCATACCCCAATATGACAACTTCCGCTATTCTGACAGATGGAATTCTACAATCTCTATCTTATCCTCTCTGCAAAAGACAATGCAAACGAAGGATGAAATACAAAAGGATTGTTATACATTCATCGTAAAAGTAGTATTGAGCATATTGGAACAGTAAGTGGTACATGGTATGGATGCATTCATAGCAGAATTCAAAATGCAAGACACTCAACCAACCACCAAACTAACAACCATCCCCAAGTTTTTCTTGAGTAGTTTTCTGTTTCGAATAGAGCAAAAAAAGCTTCCTTTGAGCAAAAGTCAGTTCCATCCAACTCAGCTCAGATTTGATCAGCGTAACAATGGGAAAATGTAAAAGCAGTCTATTCAGTAATGCTTGTATACTTCATGGATGGAAATAAAAGTAGTACTGAGTGATGATAATATGTATGTAGTTGCTAGCTTGATGGTTATATGGTTAGAACTACTTACTGGACTTTTCACTTTGTTTTGTTCCATAATTATTACAAGAAAAAAAGAGAGGTGAGATGAGATGAGAAAATCCGTCAGTATTTTGAGTGTTTGGAAATGGATTCAGAGAAGCAACACCGATAAACTCTGCTGACTCTACTGAACTTATTTGTACGCACCTGTATAATTAAAAAAAATAATGGCAAATAAAATGAGCCGATTCTGCACGATATTTATATGCAAGTACATTAGTACATATTGAATTAAGAGAAACAGAAACCTACCATTTGTAAACTTAATGAATTGTGAGGATGTCCTTTTGATTGATGTTTATCTCCAATCTCCAATATCGAATTTCAGCTGGATAATGGCAAATGGAATGGAATGGAACGCAGCTTAGATAATACGAATAAGAAATTCAAAGGAATGACAAATTGTGCGAGGAAATGTGTTGGTATCCCGGTTATCTCATATTCCCGCAAATCAATCATAATTTTGGGTGGCATTTTTCTTCTTGAAACTTGAGATTTCGCAATCCCAATCGATTGTGATTATAAATATTATCATATTTACTCTAAATTTGTATTTTGCAACAATATAATTAGTCTGCCATTATCAGCATTTTTCTTTCGGAAATATTCAAATCGGTATTCAAGCAAGCTTGTTCATAAAGGGTAATGACTTTTACCCACTCATTTTCTAATTAATCCAGATAACGCTGAATATTTGAGATTAAAATATTAAATATTTGTAGGTACGATCGAGCGACAATACATAATTTTGGTTTTGGGACTCTCGTGATCAAGGACTTTTGGACTCTTTATGGGATTTTAATGTCGAATTAGGCAAATTTCCATTTGTTAATATAGTTCATAATATTCGTTCTCTTAGAGAACTTCTCTAAAATGTGGTTTTGTTGGACAGCAAGTTGGAGCTCGGCCATTTGAACTCATGCAACCACCGCACCGGCAACATGAGGGAGAGTCGGGGATGAAAATATCGATTTTGCACATGGTGGAATGGCGACAGTACGAGATGAATGCAAACCACGCAACGCAACTACTTGTATATAAGCACTTCCACGCTTAGGCTTGTTGAGATCGGGGCGCACTAGCAGAAAGAAGAATTTGTTGAGCTGTTCGTCTCTGGTAACAAGCTACAATGCAAACCATATATGATGTGTAGTATATATATATATATATCTTGTAGTACCGTTCAGTATCCCTCTTTCCTACCTTTCGGGTACCCGTGTGCTTATTAAGCTTTAGATCGGCTTGAGCTGCTGATTCTAGTTTGAGGGGTCGACCAATGCGTTCCAATGATGGTATTATAGCTTGGAGGCAGTTAAAACTGGTAGGAGGGGGAGAAAAATCCCGGCCGCATGAGTTCATCGTTCACCGACCGACACCACCAAATCCAATGAAATGAGAGATCTGCACAAATCTCTAATAATAATAAATGCAAGTAGATAGATTTTGTTATTCTTAATAAAACAATGATGCTGATTGCTGATATTAAACACTTGAGTGATCAGATCGGGTAATGAATGAGTAGTTTCTATTTATTTAGAATGGATGGGCACTTTTTTTCTGTATTTAAGTAAGAAGTAAGAAGAATCTTCGTCGGGTACGGAGCAATGAGCATCTTCCGTTAACATATGTAATATGTAGATGATGAGAATACTTGGCATATATGTATTTGACAGTATTTGTACGACAAATTTCAAGTCTGTGAAATTAGAAAATTTCCAGAAAAATTAGAGATGGATTACGTTCGTTTATGGCTGGACAACAATCTTTTATATTGAAGGGTACTATTGGTGTCTCGGTTTGCGGTTTGCTTACAATTTAGGCTGAGACCTGACAAGCAACGTCAAGTCGGTTCCTTTCTGGTTTAAGGGTCGCGTCCTTTTGTTGTATTGTTTTTGACACATCACAACTATGTATCACACGCTGTTAAACAAATCTGTTTATATAACTTCAAACTGTTTGGAGATCAATTGATAAACAATACATATCGTCGGTACACGTACCTTAATGATATAATAAATAAATATATACGAGGGCTTAAAAGATTTTCATTGCAAACATGTATATAACGTAGAAAGTGAGATTTATTTATATAAAACTACACCAATCATAATACAGTGAGGTTAATAATTAAAAGTATTAAATTAAAAATTGGTCGAGCAGGGCCACATTAACTAACGAAAGCAAGGTGGTTACAATGTTAATATGAAAAGTAAACAAATAGGATTTGTTTCATCTCGTCTCATAAAATGCTTGAAGTCAGTCTAAATGTAAATATAATTAGACAAGAAGTCGGGTTTAGTAGGGTTTAGTTTGTTCAAAAATGTTTCACTGAAGCCGTCTATTGCGAGTCTGAAATCCACCAGGTCGAATATTAACTACCAATGAACCCCCCGCGGTCCTATCAATTCGCCTTCCAACTCTTTCATGACCTTGTAAGTACAATGTTCCTACTGGGTTTGCAAAATGAGAGCGACTTGATAATGGAGGACCAGCCATGGGCATTTGATCCATGCGCCGGCCAAGAGATCCCCCAACTCCCTTCAACAATGAAGGCATTCTATTTCCAGAGTTTGGAGAAGGTCTGGTTTGTGCAGCATAGTATGCTTCCTGTTCTAGCCACTCTCTGTATTTATGGTACCAGTCTTCCCATTTGATGTATTCGTCAAATGTAATTGGTCGTTCATCAAAGCACCCCCGATTTCTGTATAGAGATAATACTATACATTGTAATTTACACAAAAATAAACGAAACAAATTTTACAAACGATTTGCTTACTTGTAATAATCAAATCTGACTCTAGCATCAGACCAATCCAACGGGCGATTCTCAATGGGAGTGTCACGATACATTCTCTCAAAATGCTTCTGACTCTCGTCCGACATTTCTCTTCGAGATATATTTCGAGATTCTCCAAAAATGGCTGGAGGGGTGCGAGATCTTGGTTTTCTATGATAATTAAACAAGTTATGTACTTGCCTTTATAGTTTCTATGTATTTGAATATAATTAAATGAGAGCTGATCTAATATTCAAACATTATATATTTGTGTAATTACAATCGACTGGAAGAAGTTTCGCCAGCATCACCGCCCGCACAGCCACTACCAACGCTGGCAACAAATACTTTTGAAAGAACCTCCGGGTTTCGAAAATCTTTAACCACCCTCATCTTTGTATCAATTTCATTAACCGATAATACAGGTTTCGCCATTTCTCTTTTGTCTGTGCTCATTTGAGAAAGTTTTGCAAATCGTTCGGAAAGAGTCATTCTCGGTTCTGAATCTGAGTCAGACGAACCCGATTCACTCTCAGTTTCACCAGATTCTGAAGGCGATTTAGTACCTAAAATTGAAACTTAATTGAATGAATACATGATACAAATAATTTATATGGATTTGCTTTAATCTCATTAAATTTACCCTTCTTCGAGTTTTTCTCCTTTTCAGTTGACTTCAATTTTTGAGTATTTGAAGTTGGTTCTGGTATTGATGATTTACTGGATTTGACGATTGTGGTAGCATCATTTACAGGTTTTTTTTTATTAATTTGTTTTCCTGTCTTGCTTAACAAGGTATTCGTAGAGACGACCGTGGGGGGAACTTTTGTCGAGGCTACAGGTTTTGGGGTCCTGTCATTCATACCTCTTGTAGCCGTGCTGGCTTTCTTTGCTGTAGACAATGTAGATGGGACTTTATCAGGCTTCTTCTTGGTAACAATCTTTTGGCTTGGCTTAGCTCGAATGCTAATATCAGAGTCATCACTAGACACATGAAAAGTACATGCATCATGAAGTATAATTATAACAAATTAATACATTGAGTTGTTATTGTAATTGTGTACCTTTCACTGCTAGATAGACTGTCGGATGTGGAAGATGAACTACCTCGTCTTAAAACACTACCAACACCTTTACGACTTCTGCTGGAAGACGACGATCCACTGTCTGAGATTGAAGAATTTCGTACTTTTTCTTTTGCATGAAGTTGCAAAACATCTTCGTCGGAAGAACTGTTTGATGATGAGTATGAGTCTGAGTGCACTTTTGCTTTCACCCTTTTGGACAGCTAAAGTACAAGATATCGAATTAAGAGTGAAAAATGTGGAATGGCAACCAAAGTTGACAAATTCAAATTTCGATAAATGTTATTTATACTTTTGAGATAGGTCGTCCTGCTCCCGTTGAGCGCTTTGCTGGTGTGTAACTCCTGGAACGAGATCGAGAAACTGACGATCCCGATGAGGAGAATGACGAAGACCTTCGATTTGTCCTAGCTTTCCTGGGTAAGTTTCCACTAGTTTTAGTAGAATTTCCTTGATCGGCAGAATTTCGTCCCAAATCTCGTTTGGATTCGGTATTGGATTTTTGATTAGTAGCCGATCGCTGTTTTACTTTGCTCACAACTGGTTTTAGTTTTGGTGGCGACACAGATCTTGAAAAACTTTTAAAATCTTTCCTATGTGAATCATGAATTTATTTTATGATTATTACTGTTTAATTAGCCTATCTTCAACTCTGTATATATTTGTCACAAGATTAAACTCATTCATGTTACACAAACCTTGACTTTGCCACCCGCTTAATTGGAGACCTAGATCTGCTAAAACTCCTAGATCTTGACCTGGAACGCGACTGACGCCGTTCACAACGCAGGGAACCAGACATAGAATTTATTCCCCTTCTATGAGAACCGCTACGTGAGTGCTGTTGTTTTCGTGGAGCAGCTTTTTTTGTCCCATCCTTTCTGTGATATAGTTCTTTAAAACCACTATGTCCCCACCTGAAAATTAACATGCATATATATATATATTTCTGAACATGTACGTAAGTAAGAAATATTATTTAATTATTATATAACTAAGCTAAATAAGAATATGCAAACATTAACAATGCTACAGGATTAAGCTACATACCGATCAGGATCTTTTTCTTCGGCTGCTATAATTTTCTTGTCCCAGTAATTAGTTCTTTCCTCCCTAGCCTTTTTTACGACTTTGTCCAAGGAAGAAACAGTTTTCTTTGTTCCTAAATGTGAGATTGATTTTTAGTTGTCATCAATTTATTACGTAAGTTTAGGAAACTTTTTTTATCATTATGCATACCAGAATCAGGTCTATGACGTTCGGGAGACCGAGGTTTTGGAGTGCGTTTATTACCATCCAATTCGTCCATTCTTAGCCGGCCCTTTTGCGTCGACCTGTCCCTGCTGTTGTGACGATCTCGACGAGATGATTTATCCACCTCACTTTTCCTGCTGCTGCCGCTGGCATCTTTGTCTTTCTCTCGCCCGGAAGACATTGCTAACGCCATCAACTTGGATTTGATTGGACTTTGACTCCTTGTTGATCTTCTTTCATTTCGGACCATCCCTCTGCCCCTATTTCGATCCGTCCAATTATCTGTCCTAGCTGGTGCTGCTCGCCGACCACCACTCCGCATACTTACGTGCCCAGCCATAATTTCTGCAAAATATTTTACTCAAGTTATGGCATATCCTTCTTACGTTATATTTGGTAATCCCTTTAGCCCTTATCATACTAAATGCATCTCAATTATTTCACATTAACAACAAATTGTAGTTGTACGCGAAAGATGAAACAAAATCAATACAATATCCAGAAGATGATACATAGAGAGAGCAGAAGAGGATCATCATGTCGGATGGCGTCACAGTCTATAAACTCAAATTAATAACTCGGAGTTGGTGACACATTTTCAAAATGCTCATATTGTGGACTGAGCAAATTCTCAAGTGATTCCGTCCATTAAAATCCACCATGCTCTATGATCTGCAGGAAAAGTTCTTATTCGTAATCCCACGACCAGACTAATGACGTGGAGCATCAGGCGTCGTAACATATTATTAACAAGAGACGAGAAGGGCAGGAAATGTTTATATTATTTTTGTTTGCAAATCATTATAATATTATGTCGGTAATAGATATAGTCTTTCTTTTGGAAAGCAAATTGCCAACGGTTTCAAACAACGACATCGTTTCCAAGATTGAGTACTTCCGGTGCATACAAAGCTCTACACTGAGACAATCGCACCACCAATTGTTTCTGTTTTCACTATATCACAGCAAACACAATTACAGTCGTAAATTTGCATGCAAAAATCACAAATTTGAAGAGTTTGGGTTATTATATAGAGTTCCTGGTGAAACTGAAAGGATTAGCCTTTATAAATTAAATACGCTATATACTGCTGCAGAAAGTCAGTCTTCTTTTATCCATCCACCATTCATAAATAGTTCAACTTATTTAGCTGATTTATATTAAATCGCATGGACGAAATGGCAAATAGCGACATAAAATTGTTCCATCAACTTCTTCCCGTGTTCTTCTATAGCCAATAATAAAATGTCTTGCTTATGGGCTTTTACGTTGAGTAGAATCTAAACACTGAATTCACCATCCACATTTAACCCTTCTTGACATTTTTTGGTACAATAATGTGTCACAACAAAATTGACCAACACAACCTCAACAGTTAATGAAATGTTCTTGTTTGCACTTTATTTGTGCATTGAGCGGATAATAATTGGACGGAGAGCTCAATTACAAATGCAAACTATGATGAAGAACAGAAATTTGAGGTATTATAGTTAATTGCATGAAATAAGGAATTACAATAAAATTAATACCACTTTTCTATACGCATTACCTCGTAATTGAAAAGTCTTTCGTGTGTTGTAAACAGAACTACCGCAAGCGTATCGGAGTAGAATCTGTCATCTACAGTGCTTTCTAATTGATAGCTTCTCTGTTGTCTTGTCTTTGCTAGCCGATTGAAAATTCAAGGCTTTCCAAGTATATTAATGGACACTTAATAAATTCACCAAAACAAGTCACGCAGCTGTTAACTATGAACTACAAACTATGAACTATATATAACCTAAAGCTATAATTTAAAGAATTATTATTATTGGCAAGCCCAAGAATTATTTTAATTTACTCGGAGCACTGAGACTGACTATCAAATAAGTTCAACTGTTGTGGATGACCGACCATCAGAACAAACAGAATTTCAATTCGAAGGACTTTTGCCCCATCTGGATGGGGTAGTCGGCGGCTATAATAATTTTTATCCGCACGTGAAAATAATCCCGTCCACTTTGAGATATTTCATCCCGGCTAAATAAAATCCTCGCCACCACATAAACCCACTCACTCACTCATAAACGCAATACAATTTTCGTGACCGAGAAATGGTGCCGTGCGACAAATCCATTTAACATTTAAAATTTGCAATTTGGGGCTATAAAAAAATACCTGGCCTTACTTCATCTCACAAAAACTACTGAATCTTGTAAAGGTAATTAATCACAAACATAAATATAAATAATCGTTTGTAATTTTATAAAATATATATATTTTTTTACTTCGTCTCATATTTATTCAAACTACAACTTATTAAATTGAATTCCTTTGTACACAAAAGGATTTTTCTTGAACGGAGCCAAAGACTATTTAGTATCCAAGTAACGTTATAGAGTGACAACGTGTCAAATAATCTTGTACTATTATATTGTATATATACAATAAAATTTTATTCTGGTTGATTGTTTTGTTTGGCTGCACTATTTACTAATAGTACGTGCTGATTGTTTATATTATTTTGTTTTGCAGATAAGACAAGGATTTTCTTGCAACCAGTGAGGTCAAGGTCAGGCGAACCGACCATAAGTTAATCATGGGAATGAACATTTCTCGATGTGAAGCGGATCCGACGATCCTTCCTCCTCCACCGCCACCGCCAGGACAAGGAGGAGGATCGTTGAATGAACCTCCTCAACAACAGGAGACGTACGTTAGTGAAAAATTGAAGAATAATCCTGGATCGTATGAAGAGCTTCATAAAAAATGCAAAGGTGGGTAGCAAAAAAATGAACAAGTGACAAGACAACGGATGTTGTATCTCATGTTGTATCTCAAGACTTTTGGAATTAATTAATTTGGTTTTATATATATATAGAGTTATTTCCTCTTCCATTCGAAGGAGCCAAAGTTATGATCAACAAGTCATTAAATCAAGGGTTTCATATTTCTCATTCAATTACTATGAGTTCAATCACACCGTCTGGGTATCGCTTTGGAAGTACATATATCAGCGCTGGGATGGTGTCTCCCCAAGATCCTGCATTTGTACTTATTGCGGATATCGACCCAAGTGCCAACCTCAACGCTCAGGGAATTGTGAATTACAACGAGAATCTTAGGTTCAAGTATGCCAGTCAGGTTTGTTTGCAGAAATAATACAATATTATGTTATCTACTCATTTATGTTGTGCAACATATGTGACATGACGTTCTTTTAAATTCACTCTTGGATCATGTACTTATATTGTCTTTGCAGATTATGAATAGCAAATTTGCAAGTACTCAGCTCACTGCCGATTATCGAGGCAGAGAGTGGACTGCAACTGGAACAATAGTCAACCCAAACATTTTCAATAACACTGGTATTATATTTTTTTAATTTACTTACGCACTGTCAGCGAGTGTGCTAAACTTGCTCCTTGGCCGAATGTCCAAAATATAACATGCATATTTATTTGTATAAATAGGGATTGGAGTCGTTCAATTCCTCCAAGCCATAACTCCTAAAATCACAGTAGGAGCTGAAATAATGTTACAAAAATCGCCTCAAATCCCAGGAGGAAGAACGACTATGCTGTCTCTTTGTGGACGCTACACTGGTACGAAAATGTGTGCATGATACGTATTATTGAGAACGACTAGACTAGTAATTTAGCGTACAAAATAAATATACAAATAGCGTTACAAGTTATTTAATTTCCTTATTTATCTTAGGGGATGAAAGTGTCTGGAGCGGATTTGCTGGAACTGGTGGACTGGGTTTGTGCTACTACAGGAGACTTAACGAAGAGATTCAAATTGGATTCGAAATCGAGAATAGTATTGTTCAACAGCAAACTAATGTTGCATTGGGGTATCAGTTTGACCTTCCCAAGGCTAACTTCTCCATGAAAGGTTGGTTATATTATTGCATAGTTGTAGTCTTCAGGAATAACTTAAATAGTCAAACCTTTGTTTTCTCCTGTGTAATAGCTATGGTTGACAACAATTGGACAGTTACCGGTGTTTTGGAGAAGAGGTTGCTTCCTATGCCGTTCATGCTGTCACTTTGCGGATCATTAAATCATGTCAAGAGTCAATTTCGTCTAGGTTGCGGTTTTACTGTAGGAGTTTAAGAAGCTATACATACAATAATCGAACAAGTCAGTCATTTTAGTTGTCGACAATGAATAATTTCGTACCCTTCTTCAAACCCTATATTGCATTTATTTGCTTACAATAATTAATTAAACATCACCAATTACTCTTACGATTTCTTCAAATGTACTATATAACAAAGGCTGTTTGCAAGTAACTGATGCAATACAAGTCATGTCATGTCACTAAAATTAAAAACTAATAATATATTTTCTTCGGAGTTCGGACTTTGTATTTGTTTCAATTACAGCCAGAAATTAATTTTTATACTGTACTAGGCAGAACGTAGAACTATTCTTCTTGTTTCATACTCGGTGTGATGAGGTAGTCCAAAAGTAAACCATAGTTAATTATTATATCATTGTAATATGGAGATAAAATATTTAGTAGATCAAGGGAGAATTAAACGTTGATTTGTTAAAAGTTCAAGTTTCTATCAGATATTTAGTAGGTAGATGAGTCTGATCATCAGATTCTGATTATATGTCTGTTTTGCATTTGAATAAAAATGGTTATCTATCGAAATTTTGAATGTTACTATATTCGTCAATAATTGAAGCATATTTTTTTCTGTGGGAGGTCACCCTACTGAACACTGGATGTCAATTTTCAACATCTGACCATTTTAAATTTACTATATCTTATTGTATCTACACACATCACACATATAATCCCTACATACCATACTCAATACTTTACAAGACTATTATTCACCACATCATATTATATCATCATATTAGTATATTAGACACCATAATTATTCGTTCTTAATATATCGATTTGGCTCATCGTGTGTGCCCATCTTTAAACTTTGCGTGTTCAAATTGATCGTATAAATTTAAAGAATATTGTTGATATGATAGTTGTAAGTAATGCAAGTCTACAAGCCAGGGGTGAAACATCAGCATAAACAATTTCTTGCGTACAACATTTATTTATAGCAAATAGATATTTCGTATGAAATGAAAATTATGGAGTACTGTTAAATATATTAATTGTAAAAAGGTTCTAAAACTTCACTCTATCCTTCTTTTTACCATCGGGTCGACCAACTGGCTTTTTGCTGGAAATGGGCTTATCTTTGATCGGCTTGTTGCTTAACAGGGGATGGATCTCTGTACATCAGTCGGGTAAAAACATTTTTAAATTGCAATAAAAAGCTAAGTAAGTATATTGTTGTATAGATGAAAACGAACCGTCACTTGGAGCATTTTCCAAAGTCATGTTATAAGTCCTAGGTTTCTTTTTCTTGGTGGAGGATGGATGATTCTCTTTATGGTCAGAATGTCTCCTGTGGCTGTCATCTATAGGATTAATCGGGTCTGGAGGAGGAGCCCACTGATCTTCTGCGTCTTCAATCTGGAGTTAAATAGTAATTTTAATTGTGCAACTCAAAGAAATTACAAAGCAGTCCTAGTGAAACAGCACGTACATCAGGTGCAATTGGCAAAAACAACAAGGTATCTTTTTCGTCTTCTTCGTCTGAACTGCAGAATGCAGGAATAGGGTTAACGCCAACAACATCAACCTATGACAAGTACAATATACGATTTTAAAGGCCGGCAAATTTTCAGAAGCTTCTTATTAATAATAAATTATTATTTAATAACTTATTGTTATTAATTTAGAAAGAGAAAGGAATTATCGAATGTGCATATGTCAAATCAGACGATACAAAGGTCCCGTTTTTTGCAAACTCTATTCAGTAGAAAAAAATCTTGGCGAAACTCAAGAAGAACATCGAGAGAGTATTAAATTTTGCTATACATTTGTAATAAACCAAAATAGACAAACTAAAATGTATCCTTAATCTATAAGTGTGTAAATAAATTTACCTCGATTTCGTCATCTGCAGCTGTACCTTGGGCTTCAATAATTTTATCTTCGTCTATACAAACAAATCACGTAAAATAGATGTAATCGATAGAGAACCACTACAGAGATAATGTATGTAGGGTATGTATGCACACAGTAGAATCGCATCGTTGAATCATAGTTTGCATGAGAATTGGGTAGCTGACATGTTACTTGCCTCACTGTATGTACTGGTATAACCGCGGATTAAAGTCTCACAATTTTTCATAGACAGGGACAATGTGGCCTAACTTTTCTACTATTTGGCTGATAAATGGGTCGATCGAGTCGAATAACTCTTACCCATAGAGGGTTCGTCAGTATTTATTTAAAATGCTTACCCTCTAAATCAAATTCCGATTCCCTTTCTTCGTATTCCACGTTTTCATCCAACTCTTTGAAATCCGGTGCGAATGCAGACCAATTCTCAACCTGATTTTGAGCCCAGATCGATACTACGCCACTACTAATAGAAGCAATGATGGGTCGCATTGGATGCCACTGAAATACATGTAAATAGTTAAATATGTTATGCATTGATGCCCATTTAAATCAATAAAGCAAAGCAAAATAAGGCTTGTGTAGTATTACTCACCACAACATCAAGCAATAACTCTCCTTTCGTTCCATGCAAAATTTTAACCAAATTCCCAACACTTTTTTCCCAAATATAGAGTGCATGCTGGCGAGCTGAACCAGCACAAATGTATTCTCCATCACCAGAAAAACAGCATTTTTTCCACATTGTTCTAAAAAATATATCCATTATACACATGTTGCATATATATTTAAATACGTTGTATTATAAGAACTATACTTGTTAACTAAATCTTGCAACTTTTGAATCGGTTCAACATCCCCCTCCTTTCCACAATTTAAAACTTCTGGCACATCATACACACGAATAATTCGGTCTGCTGAATTAATTAAAAACCACCTGCAAGAGAAAGGGAGGGGAGAGAGGTACATAAGTAATATTAACAAAATTTTTAGATATTATGTCATTGTCATTAACCGTCTCTCTTTCTATATTCTCATATGAACTTTACTTACTCTCCTCTTCTAGAAAATTCAATAGTTTTCACTGCTGTGCTGCTGCTTGCGACTTGCCCAATTCTGAAGCTGGCAACCAGCGTCATATCCTTAACGCTATGGACTAAAACTTTCCCTTTCGCATTACCAGAAAATATGTACTTTCCGCGTCTATCGAACGAGGCAGCAATGTTCAAGTCTTCCTAGAGAAAGGAATCCAATTTTAATCTTATCAATTCTATTAAACGCTGGAGATTAAAGATTAACTATAAAAGTCTGACTTCGTCATCCAAAGGGACCGTTTTATGTGATCCAGAAACATCAACCAGCAATGCCGCATGTCTTAACGGGCAAACCAGAAACTGCTTGGAATCTCGCGGATGATATTGTACCTATCAAGTTAAATTCGATAACAATCCACACAAAAACAACTGCATTTCATTCCATGCCTTAGTACGGTAAAAAAAAAACTTACTTTAAGAACTGGAGATGGAAACTGATATCTGCTGTCGCAGTCTCCAGTAAGAACGTCCAAAATGCACACCGTGTTGTCTGTGCACGCTGTTAAAACCTTTTTTCCGTTCCGTGACCAGCTATGTAAACCCAAATTTCATGGCACGTGCTTAGATATTCTCATCCATCCACTACTGATCACCCCTTATGTAAATTTATTATTTACCTACCTGACCGAAGCAACTGGATGAGCATGGGCCGTAATAACTTTGGCAATACCTCTCGTCATAAAGTCCCACACGACGACACGCCCATCATTGCAACCCACAGCCAACAAGGTGCCATGCTTATTAAAAGCAGCAGTCACCGCCAATGAAACACAATCTAGAACATTGTCATACTCCTACAAAACAAATAAAATAAAAAATTATGCAACACATAGGAAATTTAATTAACTCTACACCACTTGATAGGTAAAGGAAGGTTCTAAAATACCTCTGGATAATTTTGTCCAAACGATTCTACACAAACAAATGATTAAAATTACAAATTAATAAAATATTATATGCAAACATTACAGCAGGATGCTTTACCTAAAAGTTCGAGATTCATTTGTGCCAAAAAGTAATTAAGCAACAAGTTGATTAGAAAATTAGTAGGCTGAGATTTTCACCACTTGTATACAAATTAAAAATCATGAATTGAGTAAGAAACGTTAATTTTAAAAAACGATATTAATAATTGAACCGGTGACCGAGCGGACAAAAACAGTAAGAAATGTTTATGTGTATAATAAGTTGAGTTTCCCGCTCGCTCACAGTGCCCCAAACCCGGTAAAACTAACGTAATTGTCATTTATAATGTACAAAAAAGAGCGCAGTGTGGTGAACAAAGGAGAATTATCCAGTCAAGCCTATGAGACAAGTTGGTATCAGTATCAGTTTTATGACAGATATTTACGAAGCAAATTGAATCGTGAAGTTTAATGAAGATAGTATTATTGATCGTACCTGATAATTATCAAATACTGAATTTTTACTGCAATGTGCGACGCATGCATCTTAAATAAATATGACACTATGCGTTTTAATTATCTCATAATATCAAAGAATATGTCCATTTTATTTTATAGACTATACAGCAGGGTACAATGTAAATGTCACCAATACAAAGAATAATGCGCTTAACATATAGGGATCAAGTATCAACGACGAATTAGCGACCACAAAAAGATCTTCGTTTTTGTCCCCGTTTTTTGTTTTCCCTTGCTCCTTAGTATTATGATCGTATTTGATTTTATCATTTAAATCTACAGACCCCATATCTTGATTGGTCTTTGGTGTAGCGTCGTACAAGGTTTTTGGAATTACAACAGACTCCTCCAGTTTCTTACTTTCACTTGCAGAGTACATGTAGCTCTTTGCTCCTGTGTACATTCTGACCACTCGAAAATTAGTTTCGGCAAAATCGTACTTGTCTCCTTTGAAGCGTTGTAGTCGATTGGTTGTGAAATACAAGTATCCAGAGTTGTCGAAACCAAATGTGTCGGGCCATTGGAGGTCAACATCATTTTGTACCAATAAAACTTCTTTGTCAGTAGCCTATTAAATGAATAATAAATTGTTCCAATTTTCACGGAAATGGTACTATAATATTTAGTACTTGAACATTTTACCTTCTCATTTGAAGATGTGTTGTAGTACGCAACCCCATTTTTCCCCAGCAAACCAGCAAACAGGAGACCGGTATAATCCATTGACAATCCGTCAGATTGAGTCGTCCTCAAGCCTTCATTTCTAACTGCACTGTCCGACAAATTGTCCCCGTTTACAGCAGTTCGGAGTATGGATGTTGAGACGGAGAAAAGATTTGCACTGCTTAAGGGACAGAAATACAATCGGTTGAAGTTTGAGTCTATTGGAGATAGAGCTACTCCGTCCACGTTTACACTAAATTGGTAGTCTTCATCTGAAAGTACAAGTCTGAGCATAAAATCAATTATAATAATCATTATTTTGTACCACATTTAACTCGAATTTAAATGCTAAGTAAATAAGTGGTGGTAATAGAAGTTGGGGGCTACTCATTACCAGAGGGCGGATATGTATGTATTTCTAACTTTTTCATATCAAATCAGATCGTACTAAAACTTCGTATACTGACATCCCATCTAAGCCTGATCTCAAAAGTTCAAACATAGTTTTCCATATTTTACATATTTTCGGGTTTTCGTACATATACATATTGTCATACTTATTTTGAGGTTTTTTGCATACATTCACATATTTTCCTACATATTCGAGCCTTTTTCTAAATATACATAGTTTACTACATATTTCGAGGTTCTTTATGTAAAAATATTTTTGTTTAGTCACAAGTTAAAGACTTGAAAATTAAGAAAGTTAAGAAAATTATATTTTCATGATAATGGCGTTCAATTCATGTGAATGACTAGCAAATCCAGTTTCCCCCATTTTTTTATGCCAAAAATTACCTCTAAAACTCAATAAATATTACTAATGTCGAATTATGAGTCATTAGATAAAGGTTAAAACGTAATTCATTGATACTAGTGCTAAAAATTCCGAAGTTCTGGAAAATTAAATATAAATGTTAGAAAATTTAACTTGAAAAATATTTTTTTGTACATATTTTCGAGGTTTTAAAGTACATATCACATACATATTTTGAGGAATTTAAGTACATACATATCCGCCCTATGCTCATTACTCATAAATCTGTAACACGGTCAGAATGAGTTTTGTATGTTCCCATTTGGGCCACGTATTACCGGAGAATGGGTTTGGCTTGGGGGGTATAGGGAACAAAATTGGTAATTTTTGTGATAAATTGCAATCATGCACTAATGGGATCACCTAAAATGTTTATCTTAACTGCATCCTGGTTTGCGACCATGGAGGAATGATGTACGAACCACGAACGATTTTCTACATAGTTGTACACCACAATTTTAGAATCCAAGGCATCCGTAATGTAAGCATAACAATTTTCCTTTGAGATACACGCTACGACGATATCATTCAAAAAGTTGGTAGTTGGAGAAACGACGTCTTTGGGAAACTCGTATTTTCGAATCACGTCTCCACTTGATGTGTCCAGTAATACCAACTTAGGAGGGCATTTGTCATCCTTGTTTGTTCTATTACTAAATATGTGCACTCTTCCAACATCTACCACCCACATTCGACCAAATTGGTCAATCTCCATGGATTGTACATATTGAAGAGCGTTGCAATTTCCCAACTGGTTCATCTCCCATGATGGATATGGGTTCAACAGAGGACCTTCAGAAGAATAACAGGAAATTAATGTATTCGTAACCACCAGTGAAATTAAAATTGTACTGATTGGCGTGCCTTTAATTTCTCCAATGGCTCCTACAGTTGCGTCTAAATCAAAGTCAACATAAACCAAGGAGGCTGGAACCCCGTTCCTCCATCTCGGGACCGTTAAGAATATCCTCCTATCCTTAACCTTGATACCGGTGATAACATTGTTCTCTGGAATAAATTCACCGTTGGCCAACAGTCGATTTCGAGTTTGATCCGAGGAAAATTTAAAATCCAATTTTTTCCATCCATATATTACATTATATGATGCTAGTGGATTGACGCTGTGTGTAGGACACACAAAGTAGAGAGATAAAACAATGACAGTAAGACGAGCCAACACAAAGCCTCGTGATATGCTCATCTTAAAATTTCTTAAAACTGAAAATGAAACATAAATGCATATTATGTAGGTACACCTTTAGATAGTATGATATTTATTTATATATATTTACCTGATTGAATAACCGAAACAAAACGCTGCTGCTACAAGGATTTTACTTACTAAATAAGTCAGTGAATCGGCAGCGATTATATGCAAACTTGTAAAATGGCTATGTATATGTAGTTCTGGAGAACAGGTTTGTACGTATGTAGCTTCATGTATTGTACATGATCTTGACTTTATGAGGAAAGTGGTCAGGTTGGTTTGTGAAGAAAAACACTTGCGCACTTTCTACTGTCGTTCTAACAGAAATAATTTGGCCAAATTTTCTCAACTTACTATAATACTTATAGATAAACGGAAATATCATATGCTTTCCTTAGCCTACCTGCTCATTTAGAATTTGCCCATGGCAGCTATTCATTTTATTACCTTATTATGATAATGCCAAGCTCAATTAGGTATGCTAAACTAGAAAGAATGTGCATAACATTATTATTACCACTGTATGATACAGTCTGTATCGTTAAAATAACTCTTCTGCTGTCACAAAGTCATCGTAGGCAAAAATAAAATATCCCATTGGACCACCATTGGACAGACATTGGAAAATAGGACGCACACATGCATGGCATATGTATGTGGGGGGTTTTGCATGCTAAAGCCGTGACCGTTTGATTGAGAAGGACGGTCAACGTATTTAAAATTACCGAAAGGCAGAGGTAAAAAATGAGGTCGAGTTTGAGAGTATTTATTTACATAGATGGCCAATGCACAATAGTAATAATTACTTATATATGATTCCTTTTAAGATTTGAACACTTTTAACCATTACGTGAACTGAAGTCCAGATATCTATGTATAAATTTTATAATAGCATACGCCTATACGCTTGTTGACAAATAACTAGGTACTTATGGCTTCTTTTCATCCTCTCGGTATTGATAAAAATCTTTTGAAATAGTCTAGAAGGGCTTTTTGATAGGCTTTACAGTTTAATTTTGCTTCACCAAGCTTTCAACAAATACACATTGCCTTCCTCAGGGCTAATTCAACTCATCTAACAATCACAATAATTATTTTTTCATGTAATTTTTCTTTTACGCTTGAGTGTTCGGATAACACTTTGCAATTAAATGTGTTTACTTAATTATTTAGTCGTAAGTACTATGAAACATTTACATTTATTGGGAAATACAAAATGAAATTATTCAAATGCTAGAAATTTCTTATAACAACAAAATTTCTGGCATTATATAGACTGCACACATGACAGAAATTCGAGTAGAAAAGTGTTATACAAGGAATATTTTGAGATGCTGATATACGATACACAAATTAAGAAAATGCGCTTCTGACCAGATACTGGTACTGGTAGCTCATCTCTTCTTGAATCCATATTTTTTTCGCTCGTAGAACAAGTCGGTTTTGGAACTTCCCAAGTTAACAATTTTTGGGCATCCATCTCTCTAAAATTGAGGAACAACAATTATTCAAACATTAGTTTCCAGTCTTTATTATTAGTTTGTGTTAATAAAGCATGATATTTGATCATACATCTTTCTCCTGGATGGTGCACTCCTTGCAGTAGTAGGCGTCTGAAACTCCTGGTCCTCCGCAAATAACGCAGCGACCCTGGTACGAGCCGTAGTTACACTCGTCGCAGATCCTGACCAATGTGCACGGCTTCACGTAAGAGTCGCAAATCACACATTTTCCGTCACATTTCTCACACAGTCGTCCAATCGCTGAAATTAGTCCACAATTAGGCTATGACATTACCTTCTAACTGTACCTCTGTAACCGAGGCTCTGTTATGTGTCATGAAATTGAATTACCAACACCAGGTTGCTTCCTGCAGAAAATCAAATCCGGATGATGCTTCGCCATTATCACCTCTCACGTTAACAATAAGTGGGTCGAAATTTGTAATATAGATTTTTAACTATTGAATTATTGCTAAATGTGGTGGTGACAAGTTGTTAAAAAATTGTTAAAAGCTTATGTTGTATTTGAACAATATAGAACCGGTGGATTAAGTTGAGCTTGCTGCCAAAGCATTTCGGTACTCTATGATCTATGAGGTGGGAATTTTTTTACTCGCTGGTTGAGTCAGCGACACATGCGAACAATTTGATTCTCAAACAATTCAACTAATTCATGGAAATATCTGTATATATAGCATTCAACTTCGAATGGTGCGTATATAAATATATTCTTCTCTACGATGTATCGCATTTTGTTTATTGTATTCGGTAATTTGATCTATTTGTCTTTTTTTAGATTAAGAAAATAAGTTACTTACTACGCACACACGTTATACACTATTGAGCTGGTTGGATAAATAAAATGCGGAAGCCACTTGTCATCGGAATCAGAGTTTTCAGCGGAGGGACGAGGGTGACAGAATTCCTTGCGGCCGTGTTGATGTGTCTATTTCTTGGCGTTGGGGCCGATAGAACGAGTCAAAAGATTTACGAACCTATTGTGGAATCATACCCTTGTTTTAGGAAACTTAATGGAACCCATCAAGTGGGGTGTGGATGTGAGTTATATTTGTAAATAGTTTGTTCTGGTGGGCAAGGTCTGATTTCGTGTTATCTTTTATTTAGCCTCTTTAACTGGTGATGTTGGTGTAGTCCATCTTGTTGAAAATGAGTCCTCGCTACAATGGGTCACTAGGATTGGGCCACATGACCCATATGTTGCTCTCATATATCCAGATTTTTTAACGGATAGAGTGATGAATCTATTCAAGAGGTCTGGAAGAGTTGGGGGAATTCTAGTTTTGAACGATACTATCAGAATACAAGGCTTACTTCAATCTTCCCCCGACTTAAAGTGTCCAAATGAAGGATTCGGTATAATTTAATGAATTGTTTATTTTATTTTATGAGATATCACATAATATTGTGTTTGTTGTAATATTAGGCCTTGCTCTACCAAATTCGACCCATTACTGCGAGAATTGGAATAATGCTGGGGAAAGCATTCTTTTTCAAAAATTTGATTTTCCAGTATTTTATGTCCATAATGAAACAGAATCACAAACCATTTTAAGCTGCTACGACGACTTTAATCGTCCAATTAATGGAACCACTGCAAGGGAATGGCCGTTATGCGCTGCTCAATTGCGGTATACACCATACAAGCTTCCAACATTTTGATATTTCCATATTTATATTGTCCAAAAAATTCAATAACAGGCATTTAACGGAAGTTTGTTTCTTGTAATTATCATTATAGGGCATTCATGTTGGCTGCAGTAGATACCCCCACATGTTTGAGAAGGAGTGACAAATTCAACCTGGAGCAGCAGAAAGGTATGACTAGTCATGGAATTAGGTGTACTATCCTCTATGTTAGGCCGCCTGTGATAATACACACAAATTGCAAACTTTACGTTATTATTTCAGCTAGAGTTTGTGACCAAATGGGCGATCTTAATATTTGGGCATCCGTATTACCATCAAATCAATCTAAACCATACATAAAAGAAAATGGGTTCGTAGATCTATTTTTCTAACTTACTAGAGTCTATAAGGAGTATAATTAAATCATCATTTTGCAGGTCCGTGATAGTAATAAGCGCAAAATTAGATGCAGCCTCAATGTTTGAAGGACTCGCTCATGGAGCTGATAGTGCTGGTACAGGCATTTCTACCCTTCTCGCAGTCCTCAAGCATCTCAGTCAACCTGAGCTCAAAAATTTGTTATCAAATTCAAGCACTGTACGTCGTCTAATAAATAATCTAAATAATTTCTGTAACGTACATACATTGTTTAAGAGCAGATTGACAACGTATATTTTATCCTGTTCCATGGAGAAACATTTGGCTACATTGGTAAGTAATTTTATTCTTCTACTTGCTACCTAAGGCACTAAATATGAAGCAATGCTTTTTTTGGTTCATCATCTTGCTCATATCTTTCTTCAAAGTTGTGGAGTTTCATACATTATAAACGAGAAAGAGTGATGTCATATATTTGCATGTGAATAAGAAACACAAACGTAATTTGTACATGCAAATTACGTAGTATAAGATAGATACATAGTATAAGACTAAATAATAGATATTTACTATAAAAAACAGAATTAGAATAATATGTTAAGGTTAACTTTTTTCTTGACTTATAAATTACATAGAGGGAAACGATAAAAAGTGAACAAAGTAAGGTTACAATATCTAACCGTACAAATTGGGAGATTCCATTAATTATTGCGAAGAGTTACTTACCACTGCTTACATCTGACTCGTTGAGTTTTTGATGTGCATTTGATTGATTGATTGATTTCCATCATCACCTTGATAAGTATGGCCTTTTTTCCTTCATGACAAGAGCTGAGGACAAGTTGACTTGAGGCTGGGGTAACAATAAATTTAAACTCATTAATTGTTATGGAAGAATGTCAGGATATAAGTTGTGTTTGGTGGGATTCATTTTATGTTGACCAAAGATGAGTTTCGGTTGGGTTGTGTAGGACGCTCTTTCGCATCAATTTCATACGGATTTCGATTATTAGACATATTTTATCGTTAATCTATTCATTTGCAATTTTAAGGTTCAAGTCGTATGGTATATGACATGAAGAATGGCGACTTCCCCCAAGGAATTAAGAATGGTATGTTGGTTATCCGAGGACAATGATCAGTACATTACCTTGAATGCGTTTATCTAAAATTTACAGATTCTCAAAATACTACTGCCATGCTGAATATTAAAGATATCAAATATTACATTGAACTTGGGCAATTAGGACAAACAGATGGTCAAGCGTCGTATTATATGCATGACGCAAAAAGTCCTTTTTCGGACACTTCCACTTTGACTGCCATGTTAAAATCTAAAGGACTCGAGTTTAACTTACCCATCACCTACGTCACTAATCAAACAATTGGAATCCCTCCAGCTTCGTTACAAACATTTTTGAAAGAGAGGCCATCCATTCCTGGGATCTTTATTACTAATCATGAGAACGAATTTCGTAATAAGTATGTGTAATAAGCTCTATTGGCCGAATTATAGGTTAATTTTCTTTCTATGTTTTTTGTAGATTTTATAATAGTATGTTTGATGATGCCGTTCATCTACAATACCAGTATCAGAATTTGTCTTCGATATCAACGATTAAAATTGCACAATTAGCTGCTACAATTGCCTCAACTGTCATGGGGTTGGCCGGTTCAAATGTAAATATTGATCCAGATTTCAAAAATGTAAGTTGGTTACCGAGTTTGACCTTGCTGTAAAATTGGGATTAATTTTGCAAGTTTAAGGTATGACTAACTCGAAACTTTTTTTTACAGGCCAATGATTTATTGCATTGTTATTTGGAGTCTGGAAATTGCGATATTTTTCAACTGGTTGCTGGAAGCGATAAGATGCAACCAATTCCACTGGATTTGTATGTTGGAGTCGACCGTCATCATATTTTTGCAACTCAACTAACCCGCTTTGTTATGATGTATTATCAAGGAGATAATGTTACCAATATTACAATGGAAAAGGACTGCAACACTCCTGATGATAAATTGGTATTATGTGTATACGACTAAAATAAGTGGTATAACATTTGGGCAATATAATGTCCTCGCCAACTGACTAGCTAAGAGGACTGTTTTTCATATTGGAATATTTCTTCATGTCTGTATATTTTATTATTAGAATGTCGAGTACCAATGGATTAATGGATCATGCTTTGCATCAACTGTCAATACCAGTCAGGCTGTGAGCCCCGCGTTTGTTATCGACAATTACGATTGGACGAGCGGACAATATTCCACGTGGACGGAAAGCGTGTGGCAGCAGTTCTCAGTCCGAATATTCGTGAAACCTTCAAGGGCACATGAAATTATTACCCTTGTCTCAGGAATACTAGTATTTTTCATCAGTTTTGTGGTAGTTGGATGGACCAGTTTGAAGTCAGATATCATATTTCCCACAAGGTATGTTGGCTATACACCAATTTCTCCAAGATAGTGAAAGTCAAAACTACATAGTGATTTATATATCACAAAATTTGTGATATCTTTCCCAGTTGGTTATAATTTTGAATTTTGTATACATACTTAATGTAGGTAGTCTAGATTGTAATTGTTTATTAACAAATTACAGACCAGCAGGAATGGCGTGCTAGGAATTGCTTGCAAATCAGATAGCCATGGTTAACTACAACCATGACGACATGACTACGGAACATCATCCGATGCTGTAAATATGACTTCAACTTGACATGGACATCTCGACAACAAGTTTTTTCGCCAAGCTTTCTGTCCTGACTGCTGATAAGTGATATTTATGTGCATATTGGAATTAATGTACACTACTTATTATTATGTACATACTATATATGCATGTATGATACTTGGTTTCTTTCACTTTCACTAAAGCGGACTGTTAACAAATGCTGACTGATTAACTATATACTTTAACTAGTTAACTTGTAACAAACTCAACCATGGGTATCTGATTTGCTTATTCCAGTAACATATTGTAACCTTTTATTGTGTTTCTTCTTTTTCTCATTTATATAACAACACCACGTAACTGGATAATATTTTATGTCCGTAAAGCCGTTTGTTAGAAATAAAACCATAGCACTTAATAAATAAACTTAATAAATAAAAGACTATGTGAAGTGATCAGCAATTCATTTCAAATAATTAATACATTTTCCATAATGTTCAGCTATAGATATCGTTTATTTTTATTGCAATTTTTTAAACAACAATTACATACACAAATAATTGAGAAAAATGAGGCAAAAACTTGACGACCTTAGCTAGTAACGAGACGGGCAAATGTTGCATTATTACATGACTTTAAAGTTTTCATGCGTAATGTTGATTGTACGATGATATATGTAGATTACACTTACAGAATAATAGTTAAAAGTAGATTCAAGTGGAATATTAGAGTTAAAGTTGTTGAAGGTCATGCAAGACAATCTTTTTCAATAAATCTATTAATACGTGTATGCCTAATAAAATTTATACTTTGAGTAGCATAAAACTCTACAGGAATATGTAGGGGTCTATCTCGTATACAACTTGCATGGTACATTTTAAAATTACAGGTTAAATAAGTAAATAGTTGGATAGAGCGAGTGAGTATTATTACTAGAAAAAACTTTGATCATAAATAAATTAGAAATTTCTATACTCATTAGTTTGAGTAGTTACTTTTACACAAATGAGTATTATGTTTGCAGCAATAAAGTTACTATTGAAGTATTGGCAATATAATATAGATAGTGTTTATGTCTAATTTAATACATATATGACTTAACAGGAACCCAGAATAATGTCAAAAATATCATCGCTTTTTTTAAATAACGATACATCACAAAGTGTTGATTATATAATAAAGGTAAAGTTTGGTTAGAGCTAATTGTACTAAACAATTGAAACAGTCAAGTCAATGAAGGTAGCAAATTAACTCATTTGTTTTGCATTTGGTAACCAAATTCGCGGAGAGGCTTCACTGTTGTGACGAATCACTATTGTCTATAAGGAGATCATCATTGGCGTCATCATTATCATTACTGCTGTCACCGTCGGAATCATCGGTCAATTCATCTGTAAATTAAAATATGTATTGCTGTGCAGGGACAAAAATCAAGGTTCTGTATTGCGTACCACCAGGATTATGCCCAACATCAACTCCTCCTGATTCTGAACCTGACCCCATGGTAGCTAAATTATCTGACCTACGCAGCATTATTAACTTGTCATTGAACATTAAACTAAATTATAACTGATTTCACATAAATAATGCGTACCAGTATTTTAGAGCAGGTTTTGAGCCATTTGTCTTCAATTTTTTTGCCTGTAAATAATAATATTTAAGTTTAAGATATGTACGAGTTTCATAATTATGTAGCTTAATTTTCAATTGCCTTTGGCGCTGAAAGTTCAGGATTTGATGCATCCAACATTGGCTGTAGTATTCGTCTTCTCGCTGAGTTTATTTATAAATCAGTTAATGTTTATATAAAATTGTACCTTCTGCATAGAGTGTTACATTATCAATAACTAAACTGACCGTTAATATACCAATTGTTAACTTGCAATAACGTTAAGTTGGTTTGGCTGGCAATTTGACGCTGTAAACAGTTATATTCGTTACATACATATGGGCGAATTTCTAGCCGAGACTAACCTTTTCGTCCTCAGTTGGATAAGGGTGCTAAAATTGCAAGAAAATATAGTGAAATTTAATACACATTTGCACCCCCAATAGTCAAACTTATATTTGCTAGTTCTTTTGTGTTTCATCGAGAAGATTAGCTATTTGGTCTCTCAGTAGATCAAGTACCACAAGTTATTATAATCATTAACATTTTCTGTTCAGTAAATTTTAAACATTTCAACTTTTTTTTGCTTACCACAATATGTTGGAAAAGCCAGGATCTCATTATTGTTGTGGCGTGCTTAGGGAGAACACCACGTTTTGTTTTTTTTCGGCCGAGATAATCTTCTTCCTCTTCTCCGCTGCTGGGTGAATTGGGTGCTATTTATAACACCACCAGCCATAAGTTTAAATCATTTTCCAAAATAAAACGACATTATAATAAGTACTTTGAGATATATATATGTACGTATCTATTAACCTTGAAGAAATGAATCTTGTGAATTGGAGGTTGTGGGACCAGGGGGGATCGAGTTATTGGCACCGACACCGATTTGAGAAAGTGGAGTCCCTCCATGGATACTCCCTAGAGTTGGACTGTTGCTAGAGTGATGACTACTTCCTGTACTATGTTCTGGGGACGCATTGCAGTTATTCATTAACACTGGAGGAATTGATGACTGGGCTGCAGAGAATGGGAGCCCTGCATGATGAAATACATTTCCTGTTGGAGTGGGAGACACTGGAGTGTCTCCGTTCGACGAGTAACACGAATTGTGAGGGCTATTGCTGTGTGAGCTACAAAAACACATTAAGAAATAAATTTGCATATATGAGCAAAACGTATTATTTCGTCAATTAAAATTTGGACTTGCCTCGTAAGCATGGCTGTAGACCCATTGTTACTGTTAGAATCGTAGTAGTCTGATCGTAGCAGATTCTCACTTTGCATTTTTCCCTTGAGACAATGTCTATAAAATAAAATTTCAAAAACAATGATTTAAATGTATTCCTCTCCAGGAAAATATCACATTGCATAAATCAAAGTTAAGGCTATTAAGTTATGAGCATACATGTATGTATGTATGTGTGTCGTATACATAATTACTTACATGTATCGTGTGCAGAAATCTTTACACAATTCTTGGACTTTATCCAACTCGAGCCTGAAAGGAGAGACATAGTTAATTTGAAGTCATTAATCAATTGCTAATTAGTTTTCTCATTATTATTTAGTTAATAAGTAATAAAATAATATGTACGCTGAACCGTGTTTCACACCAATTCCTTCCTTAATTTCGAATGAGATTACAAGTAAAACACACAAAAAAGAGACTGTTAGTCCCAACTTACAAATGAATTCGGAGGACTTGGATCGCTTTGATCATCTGCGAAGGAAGAATATAAATCCCAATCAAATCATGAAATTGGACATAAGAGACAGAGATGAAATGATGGTGACTTACAAGACCATCAACTTCAGCGTCGTTTGCCAAGAAGGGTTTCCTGTCTCGCTCCTGATGTTGCACAAATGCCTGCCAATAATCCAGATCAATATATATTTCAGTTTCCAAACGACTCCTACTGCGACCCCCAGCTAGCACTACACTCTTTCAAGACAAAAAATACAACGACGAAAACATACATACCTCAAGATCATGGTGGAAACTGTCTGACATAGCACTTTCTGGGGAAGTTTGTGTCGCAATTTCACATTTCTCGAAAAGCAGGGCCAATAAAGGAAATAAGGGATGCCTGCAAAAATTAAATGTTGAGATATGAATAGATTTAGCTAAATCGTCTTAAAAAATTTTCCAAAAAATAATAATACAATGTATAACAAAATTCCGTTAACCTCGATTTTTGTGGTGCATAAACCCGAGACTAAATCACTTGTAATTTCTGAACCAGTATTTATTACCTTTTGCAATTGGTATAATGGGTGGACCGAAAACAAGTGCCAGTATGGTAAAAATATATTCGTCGATAAGCAGTAATTCGAAATGAAATTAGTTGGGACAAATTTTGAATGCTCCTGAAAAACTGCATGACATGAACAATAATTTTGTTAAGAACAAAACAATCTGTATGACCCAAAAAGGTATCAACTTCCATAAAAAGAACCATTAAGTTTAAACCTCATGAGAAAACTTTTCGAAATTCTTCGAAAAACTAGACCTTTTTCGAGGTGAAGAATTGAGTGCCACATCATTTGAACTGATGAATCTCAAATTGACTTTTATCAAATTTTACACCGACCAAATTGAAGATGTAGAACAGCGAACAACTCGGACCTACCACCAATGATTGTAGAAATCTCACAAGGGACACTCACGACCTGTCGTTTGAGTCCAGGGTAGCCACCATGTTTTTTTGAAGGATTCATCCATATTTCCCTGTAAAACTTATATTTTGCGTAATGGCGTGGCGTCAAAGTTAAACATCTTCATTTTCGACCAAATTCACACATCTGTAACGTTTGCAGTTTATGTCGAATTTACACAAGTTCGTGCTTAAAATGATCACAAAGGTTGAAATTATGAGATACTTTTACGATTTTTTCAACAAACGCATATGTCTAAAAAAAATTGCAAAATTTTGCAAAAATTAAAAACTCATTTTTTGAAATATTTCATTGCGTACGAAAGTAGAACTCTTTGTCATGATTTTAGTCAAAAATTATGAAAATCCGTCCAGAATTTCATAAGTTATGGCTGCATTAAAATTAAGAACATTCAAATTTGGCAAATGTGGTGCCACGCCACGTCACGAAATATGTATAAGTTTAACATAGAAATATGAATATGAGCCTGATGTTGGATACAAGAGAACAACTCTCTGAGAGTATAATGGTGAAAGAAATTTCAAAATTCGAGTAAAATTTGATTTTTGGCGTGGATTTGAATGAGTGATAGATGGAGTGAAAGCGATTTTTGGGCACCTTTGAGTGGGTGTGGCGGGCTCAAATGTGGCCATGGAATCAAACCACTTCAGGGTTCTTGTTCATTCATGGTACACTACAACATATCCAAATGGCATCGAGATTCGGGAGTTTATAGTACACAACCTCCCCTCTTGAGTAACAAGCTTTCAAACATTTGCAGCGAAAACGGAATTTTGTTATACTCTTTAGTAGAATGACAATAACCAAAGAGCGTACTTATAAACAGCACGTTTATCTGCTTCAAACTGGGCCTGGTCATGGTAATGCGAGTCATGGGGGGGAATTGGTTGCGACGACGATAATGATCCATCGGAACTTAGCGCCGAAGCCGCGGAATATCCTTGAGTCACCATGCTGCCACGTTCTCCAGAATCAGAACCTGATGGCGGTCGTTCTTTCATGTTCTGCTAAAAGTAGCAAATATGGGGAAGTGGAGTTGTATTCATTCCACATCCGTGAAATATTAATGGGACAATCTCGTTCGCATCCAAACCAACTGCAAAGTAAGACAAGAAACATGTTTGTTAGTATTAACAGTTTCACAAAAGTGACTCAAGTGTGCACATGTAGCACATCTAATCTTATCAAAATGTATTAAAAGTTTAGCACAGAAAGATAGTCCTCTTTTATAGTTAATTAGTTAGGCGCGAAACGAGTTATTGCATATTTTACAAACTGGTACGTTACGCCAACATTTACAGAATGTATAAATATCTTTCCACGTAATTACATGGTACAGCAACCTAACACTGTCCTCATTTTATTTCCTTCGTCTTTTGTTGATAAGGCTAAATAATTTTATTAGACACCAATGCTCGTCTAGAACACATTCAAGTAGTACACATGCTTAGCAGTTAAATCATTTACGTAAACTTTTAATTTACCGACATGCTATTTCGTTGAATAAAAATAGTAAACTAGATGCAGTACTTGTTGTATTAAAATTTTGTTAACATACATGATAGCCCAAAATGTCAAATTCATAAAATTTCCATTATACAAATTCTATCATGAGAGACCGTTAGAAAGAGAAATTGAAGGATAAAGTTGCATGAACAAATTATATTGTGAATGCCGATGACAACATGACATTGGGATATACAAGTCGGACATTCAACATTGAGAAATAAGAAGCTATGTAGAGCTGGGTTAACTAACTCGGCTGCTTTTACAGTCTACAGGGACACAGAAGTGCTCTGTTGGAGTCAAAAACTGAGAGATTGAGAAGATTACATAATAAAGGGGAGCTGCTCCGGGCACTTTACCCTCAGGACCCATTCAATCCTCGAAAACGTGATCAATGCCATAAACTGCCTGCTCATCGAGAAGAGAAAACTCATCATCTTACGTTCTTGTGTTCCCCAAAATACTGTACGCAAAACTTTGAGTCCATTCTAAACTGGAAGCCTTTGACATTTCATACAGACACAATCAATATTGTAAAATTAAATTTATAAATCAAATTTTATAATAAGTTAAGAATTTTAAATTTGCATGTTTCAAAACTCAAAGTTCAGAAAAACAATATTTCCTAGTAGAAATGCCAAAATATAACCTTCTAGAGTACACCAAACCAATAATAAAGTCAAGAAAAGAAAGGGGGTGAAATATTATGTTATTATGCATATGCTATCATGATAAATCGTCCAGACCCATAAATATACATACAGAGGGTTGGGCAAGAAGAAGGAGCCACTTTGCCTGAATTTATTGCGGCTTTATTATTCGTTTGTGAAGTTTGGTAATTGGTTCAGTGTGAAGCCCTTTAGTTTATCTAACGAGCCTCAGTCGCTTTTTCCAACCAGTCATGACATTTGACACCATTTTCAGAGTGATTCTGCACCACTCGTCCTGAACACTTTTCCAAAGTCCATCAAAACGCACGCGTTTTCCTTTCAAGAAGGCTCTGTTTTAAGTACTCGAATCCAAAAAAAACATCGGATTGATATCAGAGGAACTAACGAGAGTTTCTGTAGTAGGAATAATTGTTATACCCAAACTTTTTTTTAAATCCTTCGCGTAGGCTGCTATTTTGTGAGAAATAAGTTGGTTGAGAGCATTATCTCGGGATTTCCTACGAGTCACTCGCTGTAGGTCATTGCGAATGACCCTAGAACCTGTTCTCCTACTAACGTTTAACATTTTCGCCATGTAACTTTTAGTTGGTGGATTTACCGTTTTGGCGAAAAAAATTGATTTTCCGGATCAACTTTTTGGTTCAGGCGGATCTTGGGTATCCTTTCCGTGGGTGGAGCTCTAACCGCTGTTGCCCTCCTCTTGATGCCAACGTTTTTAAGTACATTAGAAACGTACTTTCGACCGACGATAAATCTATTTGCAGCAAATTTTCCAACAATCGCTCTCTGGCTCAATATGTCTTTGGAAAACACTTTTATTAGTGCCTCGCACTCTGGGGGGTGCTGCAGGGGCATTTTTAACCACAGGGAAAATGTGAATAGTGCAAAATTTTCGTAAACAATCTGGGTATGACATATGCAAATTTTGAAAATGCCGCAAGTGTGTATCACACGCCACCCCCAAAATTCAAGTGGCTCCTTCTTCTTGCCCAACCCTCTGTAGATTAAATACTCGCCTTTTCTCTGCCAGAGTCTTTTACATATAATAATTAAGAAACAATCCGCTCTAAAAATAATTATGAGCAATCAACTCATTACTATGAATTCAGAAAAATGAGCTTGTCTGCAAGTTTAGTACTCCAGAAGATAATTAACAGAGTTATATAAGAAACGATAGCCTAACTTTTAAAAATGAAAATGACAGCAATTTAAATGCAAGAGTATTTTATACCCCTTGTGGAAAGCGTTTTAAGAAAGATTAAAGTTGGCATAAGTGTACATACTACGCATGTATGTGAACTACGAAGTAGGAGAGGGGGAAGTAGATGAATATGTAGATGGATGGATTTGTAGGGACTGCAAGAGCATAAAATAAAGTGAAGATTAGACTTGAGTTTGAAAATGGACTTTGTTTGGGATTAAGAGTGAAAGTTGTCCCATTGGATAAAGTCCATGTCCTCATCATCTGAACTTTTGTATATACGTATTCTGGTGGTTAGCTAGGTTATGATGGGATGGAGGAGGCAAAAAAACACACTGTAAGTAAATATGTAACAAGAGGAAATTAAGATTGAGGATTTACATCACAAAGACCATACAAAAAATGCATCTTATGAATAATCTAATTCAAACACTAGTCAGAAATTGGTAATTGTTTTACTTGTTGTCCAAGTAATACAGTGGAAACGAGATTTCATATATTTGATCGGGGGCATTGAATTTTTCTTCTTCGTTCCTCGAAAAGAGAGAGGAGATATATTTATTTATAGAGGTGATGACACCCTCCACAACAAAGGAATAATAGGAGGAGGAGAAGGAAGGGATCTGTGTATTGGTCATATTTGGGAGGAAAAAGGAAGGAAGAAAGGTTTAAAGTGCCAATAGAGTTTAATAGGACTGGGGACAAACTGCCATCATTTGCTGCCACACTGCCATCGAGTCCGTGAGTGAAAGGTGTCTTTCCCCACTTGATCAATATCACCATCATCCAGAACAAATCCCAACCCGAATGTATGTAATCTCAATAGTTCTTCGCCATTTCACATTTCACGCTCTCCTTCCACCCCATCCTTTCAGTTTTTATCTCGCTACAAACTTTTGAATTGGACACAAAACTCGTACTCCCTCTGAAAAAGAAAACTAGTTTTGAATTTACTCGAGGTATGAAACAAAATAATATGAGCCTAATTTTACTTTCACTAGCTTTTAAGTAAATTCAGAGCTGTATAAAATATGTATGTAGTAGATACTAATTTACTACAACACTATTTTAGAGAATTGGAGTTGGATACATACAAGAAAGACGGTAAAAAAATGTGGCGTCTAATAGATCTGAAATTAATGAATAAAAACATTTAAATCAAGTTTGAAACAAGCATGAATATCAGACTAAATGAGACAAAATAAGTTTTTTTAATTTGTAGAATCCGTCCAACTTAATTGCATATTACGTATCTGTAGGCCTGTAACATATTTTGTTGGAGACCAAAATTTGATATTTTACAGATGATCATGTGGTGAAGTGTGAACTTTGTAAATAGGAGAAAGTTGAGAATCTCAAGGGATTCAATGAACATAAGAGGATGATTTATCCTCTCTTTCGACTACTGTAACTACTACTCGTACAAGTTGGCTGGGTTTGAGATGATTTGGACTGCTTTCTCTCACAGTGTGTGTGTATTTTGCGGTTTCTTTGATCAATCAACACACGTTTACACAATCTGCTGCTCACAGCGTAATCCACCACAAGGCACAAGCACCATCACATAAACTCCCTTTGTTTCCTCTAATTATCATCCCAATAAATTGCTAAACAACAGCAACCATGTTTTTTTTGCATTATATGTTGATTTATATGCATTAAGCGCTGAAGGTGGGGATATATATCTAGATATGTATAGCGAAAATTATGTAAAACAATTGATGTCGATAAGTCTAGTCATCATTTATATAGTTTTTACGTTGTACCTCAAGTTTAGTAGTAGAGTATTAATGTCATAATAGTTTTATTACTTACGAGTACTTTGCCACTTGGTTTTCGATAGTCACTGTTGAGTGGCAAGGACAAGAGACTAACCCACAATAAGCAATTCGAGATGAGAGAGCTAGAGAGAAAAGCTCTGTCAGAAAAATACAAGAAGTTAAAATAAATCAATAATACAAGGTTTTAATATTTAGCGAATACTACATATATGTATATGTACTAATCCATACATATGTATGGACATCAAGCAAACGAAGGACTAAGAAAGTTTTAGAATGTATGTACATTGTATTCACAATTTATATTTTTACTTAAAGACAAGTGAAGGAGTGGACAGGTGAAAGTCATGTCGTGAGTGATATGAGCAGAGAAAATGTCATGCCAAGAGGCAGTTAGCATTTCGTTCGTCGTATCCGATCAATGACAACTCCAGCTAAACAATGCATTGAACCACCTGCCCAACAAAATGAACTATTTCCATCGCCTCTAATCGTCTAAATAACACATTAACTCTGGTACTTTTTCACCCACATAATATTCTATACAAGCTACACAAACTTTATCTCTTTGTTAAACTTTATTCCCCTTTCGATAATTCTTTTCGACAGCGTAGGACAAAATAGGAAACAACAAAACGTAGAAGAAATTAAACCATTAAAACTTGGAAAATAACATCATTAACCAATCACAAAACCTACAGGATGTAGTGTTCATTTAGCTCGAGTCAGGGTCAAAATCCGCTTCTAAAGTTCTGTCAGATGGCCCAACTAAGGATAAGTATGTACAACTACTACGTACTCATAATCGTCAAAAATGTTCCTATAATCAAAATTTCAGTTTTTTTAGCCAATTTTCAAAACCAACATAAGTCATCTTCCTGTGTTCCTCTCACAAAAACATTCATAAGCTTGAACTAATATTCTTCAGTTTGATATA